AACTAATTTTCAAATGTTGAGCCAACTTTCCATTTTGGGGATAAATCTCACTTGGTCTTATATTAATTCTGTGTATATGTTGTTGGACTTGATTTGCTAGTATTTTCTTGAGAATTTTCATAAGAGTTACTGGTTGGCAGTTTTCTTGTGATGTTTTTGACTGGCTTTGGTATTAGGGTAATGTTGGTTTCATAGAACTAGTTGGAAAATGTTCATTCCTCTTCCATTTTTAGGAAGAATTTGAGGACTGGTGTTAATTCTTTAAACACTTGGTAGAATTTACCAGTGAGACTATCTGGTCCTGGGCTTTTCTTTTTTGAGAAGTTTTTGATCACTGATTTAATCTCTTTATTTCTATAAATCTATTCAGATTTTCTATTTCTTCATGAAAATGAGTCTGTTTGGTAGTTTGCGTCTTTCTAGAAATTTTTCTGTTTTTACCTAGATGGTCTAATTTGTTGGTTTACCATTGTTCTTACTAGTTTCTTATAATCCTTTTTATTTCTGTAAGGTTGGTAGTAATGTCCCCTGTTTGATTCTTGATTTTAGTAATTTTAATCATTCCTCTTTTTTTCTTGGTCAATTTAGCTTAAACATTTGTCAATTTTGTGGTCTTTTCCAGGAACCGTGTTCTGGTTTCACTGATTTCTCGCTATTGCTTTTCCATTCTTTCTTTATTTCCACTTTAGTTTTTATTATTTAGTTCTTTGTTCTTGCTTTGGATTTGGTTTGCTCTTCTTTTTCTAGATTCTTAAGGTTGAAGGTTAAGGAATTGATTTGAGCTTTCTTCTTTTTTTTTTTTTAACCTAGGCATTTACAGGTATAAATTCCCTCTGAGCACTGCTTTCACTGTAACCCATACATTTGGTATGTTGCATTTTTGTTTTCATTCATCTCAAAGTCTTTTCTAATTTTCCTTGTGATTTCTCATTGATCCATTGGCTATTTAGGAATGCGTTATTGATTATAATCTGTCTAGGTGTGGATCTCTGAGTTTATCCTACATGGAGTTCATTAAAGTTCTTGGATGTGGGGATTGTTTTTCATCAAATTTGTCAAGTATTCAGCCACTATTTTTAAAAATATTCTTTCTGCTTCTTTTTCTCTTTCCTCCCTCTCTAGGACTCCCATATGTCAATGAATTTTGATTGTAATTTTATCTATGTAAACATATGTAACTACCAAGATATAAATCACCCATAGCCCCCGGAAGGTTACCAGGGACCCCTTCCCATCAATCCACACTACCCCCTGGCTCTGGGGGTGACTTCTAACATTTATCACTATAGATTATTGCTATAGATCTTTTTTTGCCTGTTTTTGAATGTTATACAACTTAAACCACCCAGAATCAACTCCTTTATGTCTGGCTTATTTAGCTCAACATTATATCTGTGAGATTCATGTCTCTTATGACATGGAGCAACAGCACATATGTTTTTGTTGCTGTGTATCATTCTGTTGTATGAACATGTCACACTTTTGTTGATGAATATTTGAGTTGTTCCCAATTTTACCTTTTATAAATAAAGTTGCTATAAATATTCTTGTACATATCTTTTGTGGACTCATGTTTTTTTTTTTTTCATATATCTGTATGTGTGTGCATACATAATCCTAGGAGTGTAAATTTTGGATTGTAGGGTACGGCCAGTTTTCCAAAGCATTATTCCAATTTAAAGTCCCACTATCAACATTTGAGGGTTCTAGTTCCTTTACATGATTCTCAGCACTGAGTAACGTCAATTTAAGTTTTAAGAAATTTAATCAATTAATTAATTAAAGACAGCTTCTCACTCTGTCACCCAGGCTAGAGTTCAGTGGTGCTATTATAGCTCATTACAGCCTTGACTACCACCTCACCTTCCTGAGTAGCTGTGACCACTGATTTGTGAGCTGTGACCGTTGATTTGTAGAAGTTTTTAATATATTCTGTATATGTATCCTTGGTTGGATACGTATATTACAAACATCTTCCTCTGGTTTGTAGCTTGTCTTTTCATTCTTTTTATGGTACCTTCTTATAAATAGCTTTTAATTTTAATGGAGTAAAATTTATTAATCTTTTCTTTTATGGTTAGCTTTTTTATTAAGTAATCTTTGCCTGTCTAAGTTATAAAGTTATGCCTTTTTGAAACCTTTTATTTAAAATTTCAGATTTACAGAAAAGTTGTAAAAATAATACAGAGAATTTAGGTATACACTTAATCCAGCTTTCTCTAATTTTACTTACATAACCATGGTATAGTTATCAAAATAATGAAAATATTCTTATTTTTCTTTTAGAAGCTTTATTTTGTCTTTTATTATTTTAAAAGTAAAATTAAGTCTATGACCTATATCGAGTTAATTTTGCCTATAATATAATGCATGGGGGGACAAGATCTATTTATTTTTGATATGGATATGCATGTGCTCCAGCTCCATTCATTGAGAAGCATTTCATTTACATATTGAATCACTGGTCCCTTTGTTGAAAATCACGTGTAGGTCTGTTTGTGAACTCTTTATTTGTTTTATTAATCTATTTGGCTATTGCTAACTTATCTGTTGTAGCTTTATACTAGATCTTAAAATCTGGAAGTGTAAGTCCTCCACTTTATTCTTCTATAAGGTTTTTTGGATATTTCTGGCTTAATCTCATTATAAGTATCAGAAACAGATTTTCTTTCATGAAACTAGTGAATCATTAGTCAATTTAATGAATGTTAGAGGTGATTAAAACTGAAGAAAGACATTAATCTTCAAAAGTGAAAGGTCATTCCAAGTGTGTAGCAGAACAAACCACCATATAATAAAAACAAATCATAATTACATTCCAAGGACATGTCAAAATATGAAAAAATGAAGAAAAATTTATATTAGTTACATGGGAAAAGGAACTATTTATAAAGAAAGATTCTGATAAAAACCACAGTTCTCAGCAACAAAAGTGGAGTCAAGAGGTTAATGAAACATTATTTTCAAAGTGCTAAGATCAAGTAACTCTGAACCTAGAATTCTATACCCAGCCAAATTGTCAATCAGAATTGAGAATGAACTATGTTTTTATATATAAAAACTTTCCAAACTTTCCCATGTACAGATCCTCAGAGAGTGACTAACAGAATATAAATTATAGAATTATATGAATTATATATTATAGAAATTATAGAATCAAAATTTTAAAGGAAATTAAGAAAGAAATTGTGTAAGTCAAAATGTAACAGTTGAACAGAGTCATTAGGGAAAGCTGTTAGTAAGTCTAAATAAGTATGGGTTAAAAAATGATAAAACAAGATCAAGGTAATATTCCAAACATTAATATAGGATGTTAATATAGGGGAAATTAATATGGGGAAATATAAAAGGATAATTTGGTGTGTGTTTGAATTTTATTTTTACTTTTTGCATTTTTAAATTATACTTTAAGTTCTGGAATACAAGTGCAGAATGTGCAGGATTGTTACATAGATATATGTGTGCCATGGTGGTTTGTTGCACCCATCAACCTGTGATCTACATTAGATATTTCTTCTAATGCTATCCCTCCCCTAATCCTCCAACCCCCGGCAGGTCCTGGTGTGTGATGTTCCCCTCCCTGTGTCCATGTGTTCCCATTGTTCAACTCCCACTAATGAGAGAACAAGCAGTGTTTGATTTTCTGTTCTTGTGTTAGTTTGCTGAGAATGATGGTTTCCAGCTTCATTCATGTCCCTGCAAAGGACATAAACTAACTCAAAGGATAATTTTTAAACGGTGCTAAGAATATTGTTTCCATGAAGGGAGAATATAGCTATTGATTTACTAATTTAAGGTAAACAAATATGAATGAAATAAAATTATTTATTGAAAGATAAGGACTGACCAGGGCTGTTGGCTTATGTCTACAATCCCAGCACTTTGGGAGGCTGTGGTGGGAGAATTGCTTGCACCCAGGAGTTTGAGGCTACTGTGAACTATGATCACTCCACTGCACTCCAGCTGGGGCAACAGAGGGAAGCTCTGTCTCAAACAAATAAAAAAAAAAAAGATAAATACTGACAGTAATACTAACAACTCAACAAAAAACACGTATGATAAGTGTGGTCTTAGACAAAATATGATTCAAGGCAAAAACCATTTTGACGAACCAAGGAAAGCATATCAGGCAAGGTTACAGTGTGGAACATTCAAGTGGTTAATTGAAGAACACTGAATGTTAATGCATGAACTGTTTTCAGAGGCCTGGGGAAAGGTAAGGAAAGCAAGAAGGAATGTCAAAGTCTTTGCAGACAATTGGGAGTCACGACCATTCTGGGCTGAACAGCAGGGAAGGCACAATGCCATCAGCACCCAGAGGCAGCTGGGAATCTCAGAGAGAAGTGACCGCTGCTGGTCATCTGGGACAATCAGTTGTGTTGTATATATTTTACAGTGTTTACTTTGTGGCTTCTTGTGACCTTCTGGATAAGCAAATGGATTTTCTGGGTCCCACTCATTGCATTAATGTGGGTCTCCCAAGGTGGTGTGAGGATGAAATAAGTAAATGCCTGAGAGGTGCTCAGAACAGATCCTAGCACAGAGAAAGTTTCCCTTAAACATTGGGGGTGGGGGTACTGGGAGCTGCACACCCGAATGACCACACTCGAAGTAGCGTGCACATTCGGAAGGTTTGACTTCTCTTCCTGTGGGATGGCCCAATTGCTTAAGCTCCAGACTCAGCAAACGCAGGATCTGCCCCAGCTGAGCACACTACTCTTCTGATGAAAATTGCAACGGCTGGCGGAGCTTACTGGCCCGGAAGTAAGCTTCTCCTGCCCCACCCACAAGGCCCTGGAAGGAGGAAGGCATAGCCGATCTGCTGTCTGGCTCTACGTTCCCGCAAACGTCCACTCTGCTCCAGCCTCACTGGCCTCCCCTCTGGACCTGTGGGCCTCCCATCCCCTCTCCCATGAGCTCCACTCCCCTAGCACCGCTGGGGCCCACCTAGTGTGGAGACTCCACCGAAAGCTACTGCCTCCAGGCCTCCCACCCCAGGCCTTCAGACCCTGGTAACGCCTCTGCGCTCTTGGTGTAGCTCTCAACCTTCATTTCTGGGATAAGCAGCTGACCCAATCAACCCCACTGGCGTCTACACCTTGGAGACTGAGTCCTAAGACCTCTGCTGGCCACCGCCTGGAGCCCAGGCCCCGCTCCACGGCTGCGCGCTTTCGGGTAAAAGCCTGGGACGGCGCTTCTGTGGTCTCCTGCCGCCACCTGAACCGGGGACAGCAGCGCCTAGGGAGCCTCAAGACCTCTTACGAGAGCATTTCAACTCTGCTGACAAACCTCAACTACTCCAGGGACTTCGCTGGAAAGAAACGTTCTAGAAAGACCAAGTGGGTAAGTCACAAGAAAGAACTAAGTTACCCTGATGGGATGGCTGAGGGGACTCTGGGGGGCTGGAGGGGTGGTGGGGAGGTGAGGGCCTGAGGGCCTTCCCTGACGCTCTCCTCTCCGCCCTCTCCCACCTGGCTCCGGGCATCTCCCCTCTCCTCCTTCCCGCCCCTTCCCTGCTTCTCTCCAGTTCAGGAGGCCTGGAAGTTTCTGCCTCGCACCCACCCTATGAGACAGCTCTCGCCAACCTGTTCCCCTCAGCCCCGGGCTCAGCCCCTCCTGCCTCCCCCCTCGCAGAATCACCCCTCCACTCTCTGCAGCTGCGAGATGTGGGTAGAGGCTCAGATTAATGTGGTCTGTGTTCTGCCCTGGGGACCCGTGTCCTGAACATTTTGCTCCCAGGCCCGCCCTAGGGGACCCAGATGAAGTCAGTCTGGCTCCTTCAGACAAGGAAATCGGGCTTTGCATTTTGATAGCTGTTGCTGACTTGAACCCCCAAAGAGTAAACAACAAAACTAGCATGTTTTTCTCCATATCCTTTGAAAAGCCAGTATAGGGCTTTATTCTCTAGCAAATTCATTGTAAAAATCCAAGTTCCATTTTGTAATTTGATTTTTTTAAACATGGTCAAGTGTAACCTTTTTACATGATTTTGCCTAGGGGATTCTGTGGCTTGCTTGTGGTTGCCCTGGGACAGGATTGTTGATGAGTACCTGCCGCCGACTAGCAAGTGCTGTCTGTATCTGACATATGATTAGCTCTGGTCTGCCACATGTTGGAGACAGCTCCCTGTATTTTATGGTTTGTCTTTTGATTTTGAACATGGTAAATTTGTGGACTTTTTTTTTTAAACCAGACATTCAATTTTAAAATAGTCAGTTTTATCAGTATTTTCTGGTCTTAGTCTCATGCACAAAAGGCCTTTTCCATCATATGACTTAAGTTTTTGAGAAACTGACTAGGCATTTGTACATGTTAACTCTTGCAGGGGTGTCCAATCTTTTGGCTTCCACAGGACATATTGGAAGAAGAAGAATTGTTTTGGGCCACACATAAAATACACTGACACTAAAGATAGCTGATGAACTTAAAAAAAATCATAAAAATATTATTTTAAAAAATCCTGTAATGTTTTAAGAAACCGAGTTTGTGTTGGGCCACATTCGAAGCCATCCTGGGCCACAGGTTGGACAAGCTTGCTCTAGAGGATGTTCTGAACTAGCAAGGGTATGTGTATCACAGGCCAGAAGTACATACAATGTGGTGTGCTTTCCTGGAACTGAACTTATTTTCCATCTAGAGCCCATCTTTGGGCAGTTGGGGAAGAGGGATTTCCTCTTCAGATGGGTACCCTTGGGTACTTGAGACTTTCTCAGTGCATTCTGGTTTCCTCTTGCCCCCTTTTCCAGGAGTTGCTCTTGCCGTCTGGGGCCAGGGTGTCTTTGCCTCAAATTTCTGAGTGAGCAATTTGGTCAGTGGTCCACATCTGTCCTGCGGGCATCTCAGTGGGCCCTCCTACCACTGGTCCTCAGCTTCTGTCCCTGCAGGCATCTATGAAACACTAAGCTCCTTTCTTGTCACTGGCTGTCATTGCGTGTCCTTCAGCTCCCTCAAGAGGACCCTCCCTGGGGCTCCTGGCTTCTCCTCCACCCCAGGTCCCCTGCCCATTTGGGAGGAAATAAATGCTGCTTCGGCCTCACAGGCCCTCTGCCCTGACCCTGCCTAAACTTCCATTTCAGAGCATCACGCCGCACCTGAGCACCTCTCATGGTCCAGGACCGCAGCCAGAATAAAGAGCGCTGGTGCTCTCTTCCCTTAAACCTGTCCTCCAGCCCGTGTGGCAGAGAGGAGGGGGAGCATCACTGTCAGATCTCCAGTTTCCCCTGTGACTGCATTCTGCCTGGGTAGAGGAGAGGAGATACACCAGACCCACTCCACTCATACAGACATAACTATCAGGGAGCGGTTCTTTAGCACACCCCAGTTGCTCAAGCCAGAAACTTGAGCGTCTGCCTGGTACAGTCCTCTCCTCCTGCTCACATCTGTTTTTCTTCCTTTCCCAGGCCAGGTTTCTTCTGTCTGTGGTCCACCTTCTGATCTAGAGAGGCTCCTGAAATATGAAACTGGTAGAGAAGCTTCTTAAAGGCTCCCTGCCATGCTTGCCCTGAGGGTCCTGGCAGGTGCTCCGGGGCACCATCATGATCTGACTGGTGTCCCTGCCCCCAAGAAGTCCCTCCCTGCCCTCACTTGTACCCTGAAAGGTTTCCCAGTGTCTTCATCTGCTCGGCTTTTGACTCCAATGGGCAGCCTCCCTCTAGGCTCTGCCAAAAGGACTCTGGAGACACCTGGCTGGTTCCTTTCTCATACAAGTTCCCATTGTTCACCCGGCTGGAGGTTGTGGGTATTGACAGTCAGCTGTGCCTCAGTCTCCTGCATTCCATGCTGCTTCTGACCCCAGCCGTCAGGTCCCCGGGGGTCCTGACTGCACCAGCCTCTGCTCCTTGATGCTGGGGTTGGGTGTGTCCTCTCCTGGCCATGGGACCCCTCCACCATCCTTGCCACATCTGTCACCTAAGGCAGTCAAAGCATGTACTGGGCATCAGTTCTTCAGAAACAGCTCCAAATTTCAAGGTGATTCCTCTGGAGACCTTCGTTTTGGGGAAAAACACCTGGTGCTACCTGGTGTGCCCTCTCCTTGATGCTAGGTCCTTGATCATCTCTTCAATTCCTTTCTATCATGTCCTCACTGTGTCAGGTGTGGGTGCTGAATACACCATTCAGAACACTCTGAAAATTGGCAGTCAGGCCTTGTGTTCAGACACTGCATCCTTTGAAGGAAATGTTTTGGGAGGTCTTACTTTGTGGGGTGAGCGTCTGTCAGGGATGAAATGCTCCAGGACTACCTTTCTCTGCGCCTTCAGCAGCCCCTGTGCTGGGGTGGACTGCTGTGGATTTCTGGCTTTGCTGTTCCTTCATCAGTCAGCTTGGGGGCTTTGCTGAATCTTAACTCTCCCTCCAGCAGGTCTCCAACAGGGTTGGCCATCAGTACTCTTCAGTCTTTGGTATCTGACTTGCATAGAGGGAGGCATGAGGAACTGAATTCAGAACTTGTTTGGATGTCCCTAGAAAATGCCTCACAAGGCTGCTGTGCACCCCTCCCACTGAAGAGGCCACTCATTCCTACTCAGGATGCCCTGCTCCTCATCCTCCCTCCAAGATGCCTTGACCTTGGCTCTTGACCACCTCTAGTTGTTCCCCTCTTCCCCTTGACCTTGGCTCCCCTCACCCCTAGTTGTTCCCCTCTTCCCAGCCCTCCTGAGCTACCTGGTCTCCCTGCCCTCTGACCAGCTATCTGCCTACCCCACAGATACTAGAAGTCCCCTGAGGTGCGTGTGGCCTCAGCTTGCAGAGGAGCACGCTTGCCAGACACTTCGGAGCTTTGAAGGGCACAGGCCATCTAAGATGAGCACAGGTGCATCAGAGAAACAAGCAGAGCAGAAGGTCTGCCGTGCCTTCCAGGCCTCCAAGGAAGCCCATGGGACTCTGGCAGCCATGGCCCCTTGGGTGGTTGTGGGCTCTGCCGATGGCTCCTGCACCTGCCTGGGAGCCCAGCCTGTAACTGACCCGGCCCTCTGGCCTGTCATGGGGACTTCCTCTGTCGTCTACTCCTGGATGGGATGTTTTCCACAAGCTTACCCAGCCGTCTGGGCTTACCCTTGGGTGCTGTATGGTGGGTATCTCTGGATGGGGTATCCCCCTCCAGCTGCCTTGGTGCCTTCAGTGTGGCCATATTGGAGGGGCACCTCCAGCTTTGACCCCCTCGTGAGAAGTCTGTACCTGGATGCCTTGGCCCCCAACCTATTTTCTATCCCCATGGGATTCCCACCCAGCTACTCCATGGCCTCTCCCACTCTGGGTGGGGCCATCTCCAGCCGCTGTCCCCAGGTGGGATACCAGACTCCAGCCAGCTCAGCCCCCATGGCTGCAGTTGGGGAGCTATCCAGAGGAGCTCCCTACTTGAAGAGGTGCCAAGCCCCTCCCTCAGAATGGGCCTCCAGGTTCAGTATTTGGGCACCTTTGCCCCACTGCAGCTCAGAGCTCCGCCCTCTGCCCCCTTCCCCCATTGAAGATTCTCAGTCAGACCCCGGCTGCCCCAGCTCCTCCTCCCCCCGGTCACCCTGCAGGGCTCGCTGCCGCCTCTTTGAGTGCTGATCAGCCCTCCAGACCCACCTAACAATCAGAGACAAGTCTGGGTGGACTTTTAGTTTTTGGAAGAGTCTCAGAAGTGAGTTGTTTGCTATTCTTCAGTACAGAGCACACCTCCTGGACTCATGCAAGGCCCCTCTATTTGGTCTTTCTCTTCACTTTCTTGTTTTTCTGTTTGCCCTTCAACCCTGATACTGGCACCTTTTCTCCTCCCCAGACTGTCCTGGGCCAGCCCTCTGGTAGATTTGCTGTAAGTCCTCAAACATGCGTGCATGCAACCTTGTAAAATGAGCATATTTAAGCTCAACCCACCGTGCAGAGGTGCTCAGTTAGAATAAGCCTCCAGGTTCAGTATTTGGGCATCGGTGCCACCCGCCAGCCCAGGACTCTCTCTGGCCCCTCCTCAGCAAAGACCCTCAGCAGGACCCCCGCATCCCTGGCCACACTGCGGGGCCTGCCGCTGTCTCTTCCAGCATTGGTCTGTCCTCCAGGGAACCACACACTTAGGTACTTTAGAACCCATGGAATCCAGTGAGCACTAGCTGTAGGCTCTGCCTAGAGGCTTCCAAAACCTGTTTGTTCCAGTATACATGGAGTAGGAAATGCTGACTTGTTCAGAGTGCTGGTGCCCTTGGGTCCTTGTGGGTGTGCTCTTTTCACTCCTCACCCCCTCAGCACCCTCTGGAGTAATGCACACACCAGTAAGATGTACGGTACATGCTTTTAAAAATTTTAAATAAATGATACTGTGCTATAAATCTTGTTTTCAATTTTTCATTCATTAGTTTAAGACCTAGCCGTATCTGCATATATGTGTAGTGTATTTGGAGTTTGTTTTCAAATTTATTAGCATGTTTTTCATACTATTATTTCTTACTATTGTTATGGGCTGTATTCCATTTTTCTTTACAATTTTGTGTTTGAGGTTTACAAGGTGATGTTACGGGATATGTACAGATAGTAAAATGGTTACCATAGTGAAGCAGACTAACATCTGTCATCTCACAGTTACATTTTTTGGTGACAAGAGGAGCTAAAGTACACTTATTTGACAAAAACCCCTAGTACAATGCCATTTCATTAACTTTATTCCTCATGCTGTACATTAGAGCTGTAGGCTTGCTCAGCCTACCTGTACTTGGTATCCTTTGACTTACATATCCCAGTTTCCCCACTCCCAGCCCATGGGAACCACTGCTCCATTCTCTCTGTATTTTAGCTCTTTGTTCTCTTTTAATAGTCCACATATAAGGGAAACTGTGCAATATTTTTTTTGTGTCTGATTTATTTCAGCATGCCCCATGCATGTTATGGCAAATGGCACAATCTCCTTTTTAAAGGCTAAATAATATTCTACATCCATTATATATATGGCTATAATCATATTTATCCATTCATCCATTGATAGGCATCTGGGTTGTTTCCTTATCTTGGCTATTGTAAATAATTCTGCAGTGAACATGAGAGTACAGGTATCTTTATGAGGTGGTGATTTCATCTTTTTTGGGTACATTTCCAGAAGAAGCATTGCTGGATCATGTAGTACTATTTTTATTTTGTCCAGGGACTTCTATATTGTTTTCTATAATGGCTGTACTCCTTTTCTTTTCAAATAGTGTATATATTAAAATTTTCCCATGGATTTTTGTTTTATTAGTATCTATTTTTGACTCATTGATTCTGTGTCTTGAAGTATCTTCTTCTTGTGAGCTTATTATTTCTTTTGTAACTTCTTAAAGTTGATGACAGCCAGTTCATTTTTAGGCTTGATTCTTTTCTGTTACAAATTTTTAAGGCTATAAAATTCCCTCTAAGTATACCACTCTAAAATATATCCTGCAGTTATATGATATTCTTATTTGTATATCTTTTTGAACAATCACTGTTAAGGAGAATCAGGTAAATTTTATTAAAGGCTGACAAACCAAAATTGTTTGTAGTTTAAAATGCCTCATAAAGAATTTATATAATAGTCCAATTACTATTCTAGTTATTGCTGTTATAATGGACTAATGAGAATTAATGTTTATATGATATTGATAGAGAATTAGTATGGAAGTTATGCACTTATAATATTAATATACCAATAATTTGTACACTACCCAAAAAACTATAGCTTCATCCAGAAGCACTTTGAACAAAACTTGAATCTGTTGATGGCAATGATTGTATATCTATTGCAGATCTTATGCTGATGGTGATAGAGAAATCATCAAAAATACATTGTGAAGGGAATAGAAAGATTGCCAAGTTTCTTGGTTTACTTTTGGAATTTGAAATAATTGATCTGTTAGAAGGTTGAATTAACCTTAAATCCACTGCTGTCTCTGGGACATGACAGCCTAGGGAAACGCAGGAAAACCCAGCCTGAGATAAGACATCTGTGTAAGTTCCTGGAGGCTGTGCAGAGGGGCAGGGCTGCAGGTCTCTGAGACCCTCAGCTGGGAAGGAGAGAGGAAGCTCTTCAGATTAGCACCAGGGAATTGATTTCTCCAGCCTGGAGCTCACCCCTTCAGCTCTCTGTAGTTTTCTCCTAGGCTGTGTGTTTTGCATGATGCCTTCTATAGAGTGGTGGTTTCTCAAGATGGTTCTGTTTCTGCAAGTGCCTTTTACACAGCCTGAGGTTTTCTTATGTACTTCGTATTCTTAGATGGGGACAGCAAAGCTTGTGCCAGATGCTTTTCCCTTTTTACACTGATTGCAAAGGACTGAGCAAACATAGGAGACTGTCAATGACAGGTGCACACACGGCTGGCTCCCCAGGGGCTGTGGAGGATGGGGGCAGCCCGGGTTGCTGGGCTGCTTGACCACTGCTTCCCACAGTGTCCCAAAAACACTTGGGTGGCCCCTTGGTGCTGCTAATGTCTACCACAGGCTGAGCTCCCCCACGCCCAACAAGGAACAGAGAGCCCCCAAAGCCACTTGCTAACTGGGGCAGAGCCTGCGAGAGCTGCTTGCAGGGAGCTGGGAGGATGTGTGGGGCTGCTCCCTCTCGTAATCTGTTTTTACATTTTCTTCTCGGCTTTCCTGAAGTATACAGCAGTCCCTCCTTATCCTCAGTTCTGCTTTCTGAGGTCTCAGTTACCCACAGTCAACTTTGTTCTGAAAATATTAACTAGAACCCCCAGAAATCAGCAATTTCTAAGTCTTAAAGGGGGCACCATTCTATGTAGTGTCATCAGATCTCTGTCCTGCCCTGAAAATGGAGCCTGCCTTGTCCAGAGTTCCACACTGGCTTCATCACCTGCCTGTTAGTCACTGAGTCCTCTTAGTTATCAGGTCCACAAAGGTGGTAGCTCCCTTTGTGTTCAAGGAACCCTTGTTATACCTAATGACGGCCCCAAGGTGCCAGAGGAGTGCTGCTGGCAATTCACATAGGCCAAAGAGAAACTATAAAGTGTGTCCTTTAAGTAAAAAGGTGAAAGTTCTTCACTTAATAAGGAAAGAAAAAAAAATAGTATGCTGAGGTTGCTGAGATCTGTAGTATAAGATGCTGAGAGACAGACAGGGAGACCATATTCACATAACTTTATTACACCATATAGTTTTATTATTGATCTTACTGTGCCTAATTTATGAATTAAACTGTATCATAGTTATGTATAGGAAAAAGTGTATATAGGGTTCAGCACTATCTGTGGCTTCAGGCATCCACTGGGGGTCTTGGAACATACCTGCCTCAGATAAGGGGGAACTACTGTAATTGCATTTCCACATTTTTATTTGAAGAATTTTAAGGAGTAATAGAACACCCATATACCCCCCATCTCTATACAATTGTTAATACTTTGCAACATTTATTTAATCTCTTAGTCTTTATTCACACAAATACACCTACAAATAGTATCATGCATATGGATTATCCATTTATAGGGCTGCCTATCAATTTGTCAAACCATTTGAAAGTAAATCACAGATGTCTGACACTTCCTTATGCACCTCTAAAAAATAAGAGCATTCTCCTACACTACCACTTATTATCACACCTGACAAGATTAATAATTCTCTAATGTCTATTATTCAGAACATATTCAAATATTCCCAGTTGCCCCAACAATGTACAGTGTTTGATAGCTTTTTTTTTTTTAAACCTAGGATAGATCACATAGCCATTTGTAGATCCTATTTTGTGGAGTGACTATCCCAGATGCTTTATTCCTTAGGTTGGTTGTGGGGTAAGTGGTGTGTGTGCACTTATTCTATACATGTATGTTTTGTCAGATACGAGTATTGCTTATGGCTTTTTACTTTTTAAATGGTACCTGCTGATCAATAGAAGTTCTAAATTTTATGGATATCCAATTTTTATTAATATTTTTCTCTTTGGAGTAGTGCTTCGGAAGGCCTAATAGCTTTGTCTACCCCAAGGTCATGGACATAGTTTTATATTTTTTTCTTGAAGGTTTATTGTGTTACCTATTTACTTCAAATTAGTTTTTGAAATGTGTTGTCTGTTGGCTTTGATCTATTTCAGTACCTTTTCCCATGTACTTAAAAATTCTGCAATTTAGGGGTATAATATTCCGTACATGTCATTTAGGTGAAATTGGATAATTATTTTGTTCAAATGTGTATTGCTTTTTTATCTTCTTGTTTCATCAGTTATTGAAAGTTAAAATCTCCAACTCTGTGACTTATTCTATTTCTCCTTCTAGTTCTGTTGAGTTTTGCTTTATATTTTTTAAGTTATGTTATTAGGTGGCTAACAAATTTGGGACAAAGGATGATTTGTCTTTTTTTATAAGATGTCCCACTTGACATCTTTCACTGCTTCTAATGTTAACATTGGTTTTGTGAAGGTAATAATATATTCATTTTACTTTTCCTTTTCAGGCTAGTCAAATGAAGCAGTGAGGGTGGAGAAAGAACAAAGAAATCTGTAACTGCCTGTGATCCATTAGTTATAACATCACTGCTCATGTACTTTTGGTTGGTGCTTGCCTTACTTTCAATCACTTTGTGTTCTTACCTGTCTTATAAACAGCAGGTTGATGGTTTGGTTTTTTCAATCCAGTCTGACAGTCTCTGTCTTTTAACTGGATTGTTTACACCATTCATATTTAACAGAATTACTGCTATCATTGACCTAAGTTTACCATCTCACTATTTGTTTTCTCTTTGTTCCCTCTGCTCTTTGTTCCTTTATTTCTCCTTTCCTGCCATCTTTCATAAAATTCAAAGTATTTTTTAATTAGTCCATTGTATCTCCTCTATTACTATTTAGTTAGACATTCATGTATTATTCTTTTGGTGGTTGCTCTAGATTAAAATAGTACCCTTGATGTGTTACAGCCTTCTTTGTATTCCACCACTTTCCAAATCATGCATGAGCCTTCCAACAGCTTTATTTAACTCCATTATTCCCTCTGCTTTTGCCCTATAATAATGCCTTACTTCTATTTAAGTTGGAAGCTTCACAAGATACTATTGTTTGAGCCTTATAGCCATTACTGTTATACAGTTACTCATCTATTTCCCTTTGCAGCACTCGTTATTTCCTCCCCAAATCTCCATGTCTCTGCCTGGAATCATTTTCTTTCAGCCTGAAGAACTACTTCCATGCTTTGAATCACAAGGAATTGTTTCAGCTTGTTTGACTGGAAACATCTTAATTGTGCCTCCTATTTATTTTAAAGGATATTTTTGCTGACTCTTTTTCCTAGGTCAGCAGATTTTCCTGAAAGTATCATTTCATTTTTTTTTTCCTTGTGGGATTCTAAGTCACAAAGACTTAAACACTTTGGACAACTTTCAGAAC